GCCCCATCTGCTCATCGCCTGTGCCCGCAGCGTGGCTCACAGCCTCTGGACCACGTTGTGTTTGAATCGCTGCCCAACTTCCTGGAGCCCCAGGCGGAGCCCCGGGAGGACAGGCCGGCCCTGCTCAGGGGTCCGAGGCCGGACGGGAGGGATGGGCTGCACGGGCTCCGGGAGGAGTGTGGTCCCACCCGCCCTCCACACCCTCCCGTAGAGGGAAGGCCTGCTCTCCACCCAGCCCCTGCCCCGCACCCTGGGAACCCCCTTGTGCTCAGGGTCCGGAAGCCACCCCTGGAGGGCGGGAGGGCCTCACCTTTCTCTCCCCGCGCGCCCTTCTCCCCTGGGTCTCCTGCAGAGAGAGGAGGGTCAGCACAGGCTCGAGGACAGGACAGGCTCCTGCCAGACCCCGTCAGCCAGAGGACTCGCTGTCCCCCCTCCTGGGGCCGAGAGAGCCCAGGGCGGGGACAGGTCAGGGACAAGGGAGCCGGGTCTCGTTTCTGTGCCGGGTCAGTGCTGGGCTGGGGTCGGGATCCGCCCTGGGCCCCGGGTGCTCTGGACACAGACCCAGACCCAGGCCCTGGGTGAGGGAGCACCCTATTAGGGGCACAGTTAGAGGAGGGTTAGTTTAGGGTAAGGGAATATGGATAAACTTAGCGATAAGGATAGGGTTAGGGATAAGGATAGGGTTAGGGTTAGGGATAAAATTAGGGTTAGAGTTAGGGGAAATAATAAGGTTAGTTTTTGGGATGAGGATAGTATTATGGTTGCCATTAGGTTATGGCTAGGAATATTTTCCTTTTGACCTGGGACGCGCCCCTCCTCTCTCCCTGCCCCCAGGTGGTGGGGGGTCTGGCCAGGGCTCTCCCTGCTCCTTGTTGAGTTACCTTTGGGTCCGGGGAGTCCCGCATTCCCAGGGACTCCGGATGGGCCAGGGTCTCCTGCAAATTCAAACATGTCAGTGAGCAAACTCTGGGGACCCAGGCCTCTAGCATTTCCAGGGTAGACCCTCGGGAACCAAAGGGAGGGGACCTGGACCACACCCCTCCTAGTCCCCGCTCTCTAGTCAGAGTCCAGGACCTGCGACCAGGGGTCTTCCCAGGGGACCAGGCCTCAGCCCAGCTCTGCCCTTGTTCAGGGAACCTGGGCATTTCCATTGGCTGTGACTGCGGGGGCCGCTGTGGTCGCCCCTGGAGACAGGCCCCCCGGGCTCAGCTGGGACCAGGGAGGGAAGGGAGGACAGTTCAGCTGCGTCTCCCCGCAGCAGGTGCGTCATCACCAGGAGCCGTGCTGGCCGCCCACACAGGCCCGGCGGCTCCGTGGGTGACCCGAGACCAGCTCCCTCCACGAGGACCCACACCCCAGTGAACCAAGTCCCAGGTCCCGCCTGAGAACTGCTTGGGGCCCTGCCCTGCCGGGTCTCCATGGTATGGGACGAGGCCCAGTCCCCTCTCACCCGGGAACTCACCTCTCCTGCCATGGGTTCCTGCCTCTCCCTTGGGTCCCTGGGCCCCAGGCAGCCCTGGGCAGCCCCGGACGATGGTGAGCTTGTTGGCCTCCAGCCCCAGCACCTTCACTTCTGCAGAGAAATGTGGGCGCCCCTCAGGGTGAGGACCTGGGCCGCTGCCCTCCCTCCCCCACCCCCCCGAGGGACCTGCCACCATGGGGACCCGGCCTGGCAGATGGCTGTGCGCGGGCTGCCTGCCTCAGCTGGAGGGCCACCGGGAAGAGAGGCGGTCCCGCCTCTGTTGAGCCTGTTGTCGGTCCTCCCCCAGGTGATGGGCCCGGCCTCGGGGTCCACCTGCCCCCGGGGAACCCCGCTCCTCAGGCTGTGTGTCCTCGGGGAGTCACTCAGCCCCTCTGGGCTCTGTGCCCGGCTGCACAGTGAGAGCAGAGGAAGGCTTTGGGGGTCAGAGTGGCTGATGCGAATGTGTGAAGCTTTAGGAAGAGCTCCCCCAACGGCGGCCCGTCCAGTGAGTGCAGCCCCCCGCATCTGTGAGACAGCAGGGGGCGGGGGCAGTGCCGGGTGTCACCCCCATTCCCCAGGCACGTGACCTGGGAATCCCGGGCTGGAGGGTGCAGAGGGTGGGGGTCCCTTGTCATCTGAGGACACACAGCAGCCCCTGCAGACCTGGAGCCAGAGATGGACCTGCCTCTCAGAGTTCAAGTGCATCCATCACAAATACACGGCCTCTAGGGAGGGTGTGGGGACCCATAAACCCACTGCCTCCCGGTGTCCCCTTGGGGTCACATGGTCTGCGGGCCTCTCCTCTGCAGGTCCTCCCTGGGCGGAGCCAATGGGGACCTCACTTCTGCATTTGCTTAGTTTTTGCTCATTAACAACAGGGCACCCGGGGGTTGGGGACAAGGAGAGGCCCTGGTGGAGCCTGGCCGGTCAGAGCGCCATCCAGGGCGCGGAGACTGTGGGCGCGATCGCCATCAGGGCGCGAGCAGCGGGAACAGCGAATCCACGTCTCTCCCTCCCTCTCTCTCTGGCAAATGAATAAATTTTAAAAAATCCTTTTGTTTACAAAGAAAGAAAATAGGACGCCAGGAGGGGCGAACATGGACTCAGCGTGACGTTCCCCGTGAGGCCCGTGTGTCCTTCCTCCCGACTCAGCGGCCTGTCTCCCATCACAGGGGACATGCTCCCCCCACCTCCTCACAGGCCGCACCGCAGGCCCCGGGGCCCTGGGAGGCAGCACCTGGTCCTTGGTCCCAGCCCCGCCCACAGCCAGAGACTCCGGAGGGAGGGGTGGCACCCCCTGGAGAGCTCCTGGGCCAGGGAAGGAGGTCGGGGCCCGTGGGGACCCTGGGACCCTTGCCCTCTTGCTGTGCCACCTGGGGGAGCAGTGGGGCCGCCTGTCCCCCAAGGCTCAAGGCCCCCAGCGCTGGGTGCGACCTTGCACTGACCCGGGCTGGGGGAGGGGGCGCTCTCCAGCCTCCCCCCTCACACCACCTGTGCCCCGCCTGGAGGACCCTGAGGCAGTTGCCCCTGCTGAGGGTGGTTAAGCCTCAGTGTGAAGAAGAATGTTCTGGAAGGACCCGGCAGGGGGCAGGCAGTGGTCTGTGCGGAGGCTCTCGGCTCTGGGACCTTTGTCAGGCCGGCCCACCTGGCGCCTGGCTCACCTGGACAGCTGTCCTCCGTGGCGGCTGCAGTGCCCAGGAGGACGAGGGCCAGGACCACGGTTCCCATGGCAGCGGCTGCTCCGGGCTGTAGCGGCATCCCGGGTCCTGCTGCCAAGGCGCTCCCACCTTTTATTGCTGCCTGAGCCCCGCCTCTGCTCTAGTTCCCTCCCATGTGGGCCACTCCCTCCCCAGCTCCAGGGGACGGTCCCCCACCACGCACTCAGCCCCCCCTCTGCAGTGGCCCCCCTTCCCCTCAGTGGGACCAGATGCCCACGTGGGGAGGGCTGTGTGTGGAGGTCCTGTGTGTGTCTTTGTTATTTTTATTAAAGATGTATTATTATTGAATTTGGAGACGATAGGAAGGAGAGAGAGCTAGAAACACCGCAATGAGAGAGAATCACACCCCCTGGGATCCAGCCCGCAACCCGCCCACGTGCCCTTGACCAGGATGGAACCTGGGAGCCTTCCGTCCGCAGGCTGGCACTCTGTCCACTGAGCCACACCGGCCAGGGCTGCCTGCGTGTGTCCTTAGAGAAAGTCCAGGAGCCCCCTCTCGTCCCCCAGCTCTGCCCAGGGGAACCCCCTGAGGGACCCGCAGGACGGCAGGGGTGACCGGTGGAACTCACTTGCATGTAGTGGGCTGCGGGTTCCAGAGGGTTAGAGGCTCCCGGGTTCCAGGGTGTTCAGAGAAGTGGGAAGGGCAGAGGGAGGTAGGGAGGGAGGGGAGGGGAGGGGAGGGGTAGACAGAGTAGAGGAGGGAAGGCAGGGAAGGAGTGAGAATGTTGGGAAGGAAGCTGAGCTCCCAGAATGTCCCGGTCATCTTGCCGGTCAGCGGCGTCCAGCGTGCTCTCTGCGTCTGGTTTGGTGACTGAGCGCCAGCTCACCTGCTGGGTCAGGGTCCCTGGGAGCGGGAGGCGCTTCCCGTGAAGCCAGTTTCTGGGAATTGTACACAAAAATGTCCTTCACCTACAAGTTACATATTAGCCACCGAGGCGAGTGCATGTAACGGACAATCACGGGGCGCGGGCTTCCGGTCCTGCCTGAGCCAATGCACAGAGACAGGCTGGGATCATGGATGAGCGTTTACTCCGGTCCTGCCGGCAGCGTGGAGAGCAGCCGTCACCCACAGACCTGTGCTGTGCCCCCCGTAAGCCGGCTGCTTACATTGGCTCTGGCTCCTGAATAAACCGCTTTCCTTGGGTGGAAGGACACAGGGGACAGGGGAAGTAGCCAAAGGGCGAGCCAAATGGCCGTTCACAGGTCATGAGCCCTGGAGACCTGCACAGGCCTGCGGGTGGCAGGGCTGGGGGTCTGCAAAAGGCTGCAGCTCTGGTTTCTAGAACAAGGTTTCTACCTTCCCAGGATCAGAGGCAGCTCCCGGCGGGGTGGAGGGGCCGTCTCCAGGTGAGCCCCCGGGTCCCACGCGCACCTCCCAGCCAGGTGGGAAGGTGCCTCTGTAATCAGTGCAGAGCCTACACGGTGAGCAGAGCAGGAGTCATATTTCGTAAGTGGCAGCTGGTCCCCACCTTCTCGATCTGCCCTGTCATTCACGGGAGCGGGAGGTGGTGACAGGCGAGATGGACACGTCAGCCTCCTGCACACTCGGGACTGTCTGAGGGGAGGGGGACCCCCGGGGGCTCAGAACTCAGGACGATGGCCCTGCTCCTGGGGGAGGGGACGCAGGCCTCCCGGGCGAGGGAGGTGACCGAGCCTTGAACACGGCTTGTGCTCGTGACCTGCCTGCACATGGACCTGCCTCACCCCCTGGCTCCCCGCGGCAGGCCGGCCGGAGACAGACATTCCCAGGATCATATTCTAGCGCCAAGGAAGCTACGTCAGCCAGTCACCCGCCCCCCATTCCCTTATCATTTCTCCTGTGAAGGATGATCTGTGAGTAGCATGTGATTGCGTACATCAGCCTGTTTTCTTAAGAATTCTAGAGATGGTCCATAGGAAGCAGCCTCTGGCCCCGGGTATCCCGGCTGCCAGACGTTTGCTGACCTTCGACCCGTGATCTGAACAGACAGGTTTTGCGTACAGTCCCCTCAGCGGAGAACTCTCAACCCCTCCTTCCATCCCTTTGTTCTCCCTCCTGCCGCCTCCTCCTACAAAACACCTCTGCCTGAGTCCATTTGTTAAGATGGTCTTTGGGCCCTGGCCCCTGTTTCTCAGTGGTCAGAGTCAGGGTCATGGGTCAGAGTCAGGGTCACTGGTCAGAGTCAGGGTCACGGGTCAGAGTCAGGTCACGGATCAGACCTGAAAGCACGGGGAAGGGGTCAGGAGCCCTTTGACGTTAGGGCTGTAATAAACGGAACCAATGATACGTGAGGTGACACCAGGTGAGCGTCTCCAAGCCTGGAAATAAGAACGGAGCGAACGATCACAGGTTCACAAATTGAAACTGTGCCTTCCCAGGTCAGAGCCTGCACAGGCCCATGTGGGGGCTCCCGGCCCACCCAGCAGGGGCTCTAGGCCCGCACCACCTCTGGCTGGTGACAGCCCCTACCCTGAGGGTCGGCTGCATTCCCGCCAACCCAGTGCCCTGGGGCCGGTGGTCAGGAGCCTCCGCCCTTCCTCCCGCTTCCCTGGGGCGGCCCCGACCCTCAGCCCCGTGACACCAGGCCCCGGGACGGGAAAGCGTGTTGCTGAGCATCCGGACATCAGCTGAGACCCGGCGAGGGCCCCTCCCAGGGTCGCTCCGTGCATCCTGGGTACTTTCCGTGCCCGATGCCCTCCTGCGAGTCCCTGGATGGGACGTGCTCTCCTGTCAGCCCCGTGTCCCATCTCCAGCTTCTCTCCTCCTGGGGCGGTGAGGGAAGAGGGGAGTCTGCCCTGTACACGGCCTCCCCCCCAGCGGGGCCTTCGCGCCCTCCTCCCCTCGCGCTCCTCTGTCTGTGCCCAATCCCACTCTAAAGCGAGGGGTCCAGTTGGCTTCCACCAGCGCGTCGTTGGGAAAAGGGAAACACCACCCGCGCATCTCACAGCTGAAGCTCTGCCCTGTGAAGGGCTCCCGGGTCTCGGGAGGGAGCGTGTTTACGGTGGGATCGCCCCGGGAGGCCAGGGAGGGGGGGCCTGTCTGGAGCCCCGTGGCAGCCAGGAGGCAGGAGGCAGCCCCCAGCATGGCCCGGCCACCGGCCTGCCTGTTCCCAGCGGAGCGGGACACCCGGGAACTTTCTAGAATGACAAGCTCTCGGGGCCACGCACACCTACAGGGTAACTTGTTCCGCAGCAACAAGTAGTACAGACGCTAAAGGGCTTCTTCCTCTGTGTGTGTCCCTCGCGGAGTCTCCACCTCGTCCCAGCAGCCGCCGGGGCCTCTCAGGCCAGTGGTTCCTCGTTTGATAACGAGTCTGAGAAAGTCCCCAAGGGCAGCGAGGTCCTCGCACGGCCACACACGCTCGTCCCCACACACGCCCGAGAGGGAGACCCTCCCAACCTGCCCAATGGCCCATCTGTTCCTGCGGGGAAGCCGAACCAGGACGGAGAGGAGTGGGTGTTGCTTTTCGCAGCCGGGACACTCGGGCTCCGGGAGGCAGAATTGTTCGGCAGCCATGGCCAACCCCGTGGAGGGGACCACGCTCACCCCATCCCTGGCCCCGGGCTCAGGTTCTCGCTGCCTAGACCGTGCAGGGCACCGTCTCCTCTCTCCCAGGATGGGAGTGAAGCAAGGCCGGGCACCGTCTCAGCTCGCGTCTCCTGAAGACCTGCCCGGTGTGGGCAGCTGCAGGTGGAGGTGAGCTCTAGCTGACAATTGTTGGGGAGGTGAGTTCGGGGAGCAGAGGCCCCGGGCCTGAGAGCAGCTCCGTGTCCAGCGCCTGTGCCTGGGTCCCAGGACACGCCTGCGGGAGCATGAACCGGCCCCGGGGAGCACATACCGACTCCAGGCTGCCGGCCCCACCCACACCCGCACCTGAAAGTCCTATCCTGCAGCCCAGACGGGCAGGTGCAGCCAGGCCTCAAGGTTGAGGGAGATGCGAGAAGTGGGGGGCTCTGCAGGGCCTCACCCACGGGCTTCCCTGACGCCCCTCCCCTCTCTTTCCCTCTCTCAGGATCACTCACTTCGAGGTGGAAGCTGCAGCACCTCCCTCCAATGAGTGCCGCTCCTCCCCCCAACCCCCGTGCCCCGTGCCCCATGCCCCGTGCCCACAGGTGTGGGTGCTCCTTTAATGAGTCCACCAGGGGCCACAGCCCTGGCCTGTGCCCTGACCCGGATGAAACCGTGACTCCTGGTTCATAGGTCTATGCTCAACTCCTCAGCCCCGCCGGTCAGGCCCTTCTCAGTTTTCTCTCTAAGGAATGGTGCTGGGACGGCGCCTCCCAGGCCTGACCGTCCGCAGCCTCTGGGCGCTGTGGTCATCCAGCCGCCTGGACCGAGAATCAGTGCCGGTGTTTACTAACAACACCAACATTGTCGGGGCAGCTCCCAGAAGCACATAACGCCTTCTTCCCAAGTGATTATACTTATAACTAGAGGCCCGGTGCACGAAATTTGTGCACTGGGGGATGGGGTTCCCTCAGCCAAGCCTGCCCCTCAGTTTGGGAGCCCTCAGTGGATGTCCTACTGATGGCCACAGTCTGGCAGTAGGGGCTCGGTGCAGGTGTCGTGTGTGTGTGTGTGTGTGTGTGTGTGTGTGTGTGTCTGCTGGGGGCCTGCCCCCAGCCACACCCTGGCGGCTTGGAGCAGGCACCCCTCTCTGTTGATCTCTCAGGCTCCTGGCCTCCACTGCATGTTGCACTCTCCCTTGAGCTGTGGCCAGGGTGGGGCGCCCTTTCCTGCTGTGGGATCACCAGGGTGACCCAGGGACAGGCGCACAGGGGGGCTGGCTGCAGGCCACCCTATCCTGCTGTGGGATCCCATCCGCGATCCCATGGGCAGGCCTACAGGGGGGCTGGCTGGAGGCCTCCCTTTCCTGCTCCATGATCGCCGTGGAGATCCCATGGGCAGGCGCACAGGGGGGCTGGCTAGAGGCTGCTCTTTCCTGCTCTGGGATCACAGCGGCTACCCAGGGGCAGGCAGGTGCATATGGGGCCCCCTTTCCTGCTGTGGGAATGCCGCGGTGACCCACCTGCAGGCGCACAGGAGGGCTGGCTAGAGGCTGCCCTTTCCTGCTCTGTGATCACGGCGGCGACCCAGGGGCAGGCGCACACGGAGGCTGTCTGCAGGCCCCCCTTTCTTGCTGTGGGATCGCATCGTCGATCCCATGGGCAGGCAGGTGCACACGGGGGCTGGCTGCAGGCCCCCCTTTCCTGCTGTGGGATCGCCGCGGCGACCCAGGGGCAGGCACACATGGGGGCTGGCTAGAGGCTGCCCTTTCCTGCTCCATCATCTCCAGGGCGATACCACAAGCAGGCACACAGGGGGGCTGGCTAGAGGCCACCCTTTTCTGCTCCATTATCTCTGAGGCGAACCCACAGGCAGGTGCACAGGGGGGTTGGCTGCAGGCTGCCCTTTCCTGCTGTGGGATCTCCGGTTGCTCATCCCTGTCAGGGGCAGTCAGGGAAGAGGCGGGCACCAGCCTCTTCCCTGGCCCCCTTGGCTTCTCCGATCACCAGCAGGGCAGCAGGCAAAGGTGGCCGGTTCTCCAATTCAGGGCCAGGGGCAGTGCCTCCCGGCTCTTGTGTGCCTCCCTGTGTTTCCAATCACCGTCCTTCCACTATGGCCTCCCATCATTGTGCCTTTGTATGCAAATTAACCCCCATCTTTGTTGGGAGTTAATTTGCATATTGCCCTGATTAGCCAATGGGAAGGGTAGCGAAGTTACGGTTAATTACCATGTTTGTCTATTATTAGATAGGATGGCTTCAGTGGGGAGCTCCCTATTTGTTTATCTAAAAGAGGGACTTCAGATGGCTGGAGTTAGCCAATGAAAGACCAGGAGAGGCATATTAACCAGGTTACATGGAGACTGAGGCTTCCCAGCACCAGATCTCCAGTAGGACAAGGCATCAGAGGCAGTATCTCCCTATGCAGTGGTGTGTCTGCGGTTTGCTGAGCCCCAACACGCAAGAATTTGGGCTTTTGTGACTCGTGGACTCCTTTCTGCTTACAGAGTTCGACAAAGACTCATCGAGTTAACCCTCCAGCCTGGCGTGTGGGCACCTCTGGGGTCCTGCAGTGCAGGTCGCACTGCCAGGAACAGATATGAACTTTGAGGATGTGGCCATTGCCTTCTCTCCAGAGGAGTGGGGAATCCTTGATGAGGCTCAGAGACTTCTGTACTGCAAAGTGATGCTGGAAGTATTTGCACTTGTATGATCTGTAGGTTGTTTGCATAAAAAGGATGATGAGGAGGCCTGTTCTAAGAGGAGTGTATTTATACAAGGAGAGTCATAAGTCAGAGCTTCTAAGACAGCTCCAGCAACCCAGAAGAACCATCCATGTAAGCAGTGTTTCACGGTGTTAAAAGACATTTTACACCTGAACGAGTTACAAGAAGCACACTTGGAGCACAAAGGCTTCTTCAGTGAGGCATGTGTGAGAGACTTCTGTTCCAGTGTAAACCCTCTCCATGAACAGAGGCATGCCAGGGGAAAGATGTCCTGGAAAGAAGCTACGGACAATACCTCATTTGTGAACAGGTGCAGCTTCGACTTATCAGAGCTGCCTTCAAACAGCAGGGTGGTTGGGGAACATTCCCAATCTCTCTCAGAGCTTCTCCAGCACCAGACAACTCATAATACTGAGGAGCCACACTGGGACAGTGAAATTTCACAGGAATTTCTCAATGGAAAAAGTCATCACCAGTGGGGTGAATGTGAAAACACTGCCAGTCACAACCTCAATGTTGTTGAATGTCAGGGTGTGTGTTCCGGAGAGTGTGGAAAATATAGCAAGAATTATAGATGAATCTTTAACCTCATTCGACATAAAAGAGTTCACACTGGAGAAAAACGGTATGAGTGTACAGATTGTGGGAAGTCCTTCAGTAAGAATTCCACCCTCCTTCGACATCAGAGAGAATTCACACTGGAGAAAAGCCATATGAATGTACAGATTGTGGGCATCCCTGTCTTGTTCCTGTTCTTAGGGGAAATGGTGTTAGTTTTTGTCCATTGAGTATGATGTTGGCTGTGGGCCTGTCATATAAGGCTTTTATTATGTTGAGATATGATCCTTCTACTCCCACCTTGCTGAGAGTTTTTATCAAAAATGGGTGTTGAATTTTGTCAAATGCTTTTTCTGCATCAATTGATATGACCATGTGGTTTTTTTCTTTCAATTTGTTTATGTGATGTATCACGTTTATTGATTTGCGGATATTGTACCAACCTTGCATCCCTGGGATAAATCCTACTTGGTCATGGTGTATGATCTTTCTGATGTACTGCTGGATCCGATTTGCTAGGATTTTGTTGAGGATTTTGGCATCTATGTTCATGAGGGATATTGGCCTGTAATTCTCTTTCATTGTGTTGTCTTTACCTGGTTTTGGTATTAGGGTGATACTGGCTTCATAGAATGAGCTTAGAAGTGTTCCTTCCTCTTGAATTTTTTGTAGTAGTCTGAGGAGGATAGGTTTTAGTTCTTCCAAAATTTAAAATAAAATAAAATAAAATAAAATAAAAGAGGGACTTCAGGATGTTTGCAGTTTAGCCAAGAAAATAAGACGTCCTTTGGAGGCGCAGATGTTGCTAACATTGCAGGCCCCTGGGATATGGGAAAATATATTCAGATAGTTACTAACCTGGGGTTCCCTAAGGCCACCCGATGGCTGTCTGATCGGCATCCCCTGCTCCCCTCCTGCCCTAATAGCACCACTACTGAGCAGGGAGCATTTCCTCTAAGGCAAGATTGCGCCAACCCTGTACCAGTGAGACATAGCATTTCTGGCTCTGACGTGTATGGATTGGATTGGTCTCACAGGCTTGATGCTAAACGTCCCATCACGAGCCTATGTCACCAGGAGGGTTTGTGGGTAACACCCTGACCACGGAAACAGGAGGTTTACAGAAAGGTCTGTGGCGTTTAGCCGCTGCCCTTGACTTTCTTACTTTTACTGGCTCTTTCTTAGCTGATATTAAAGGAGTGTGTTCATCGAGGCCTTGCCATGGCTTACCAGCCTGTGTCCAGCCTCCATGTGTACTGGTGACTGGAAAGGTGAACATCACCAGATTGGACGCCCATTATGCTGTCCAGTGCCATCACTGTAACCTTACCAGCTGTGTTTCCAGGCATCACCTGAATGAAGATATATTAATTTCAAAGCAGCCTTCCTTTATTATGCCTCCTACCAACATAACAGGGAAATGGTTTCAGGTGCACGCCTCCAGGCACTGCAGGAACTGCACAATCAGCTCTCCCAGGAACAGCGTGCTGTGGGCTTATTAGTTCTGGTCTGGTTACCCTCGTTACTGCTGTCACTGCTTCTCTTCCATTGACCCAGAGCCTCCAGAATGCAAGGTTTGTCCATGAATTGGCTCAAAACAACTCAGCTACACTTCACGATCAAGAAGATATAGACAAAAGGCTAGAAACAAAGCCAAATGCTCTGGAAGCTGCAGTGATAGGACTAGGTCATCAATTAGAAAGTGTCAAGATGAGACAGCAGCTGCAATGCCATGCTGCTTTCACATATATTTGTGCGACTTCAGCCCCACTATGACAGTTCTCTATGGGACTGGAGTAAAATCAAGATGCACCTACAGGGAATATGGCATCATAATAATATCAGTATAGACCTCGTACGGCTACACAAACATGTGCAAGCCATTCTGAATAGTCATGATGAAATTATATCTCCATTGCAACTGGCAAAAGAATTGCTGATGATTTAAAAGGATTTAATCCATGGAAAATGTTAAAACACACCACCCAGTACCTAATAGAATTATTTATGTACCACTAATTTTATCTCCCTTTCTTTTAGTCAGCAGCAAGCTCCTGAGATCTCAAGTCCAAAGGCTCCAATTAGATGTCCAATCTACATTTAAAATATAAAATAGGGGGAGATGCAGAGAGCACCTGAGAAAGGTCCCTGACTAATTGTCATCTGAATCCAGTGGCTCCTGGCAGAGCCATGCCCTGGAAACATACCTTGCCAGAGGCAGGTGTGTTGTGAGTCTGACCTTTAGCTCAGGCGCCAGGCAGGTGAGTTCCAGCCAGGCACCAGGAACAAACACGATTATCCAGACCCATCCAGAACTGATGATTACAAAGAAGCAGCAAGAATGCACATATTTTCTTTATCTTAAACTTTAGTAAAACTTCCTGGTAACTTTACTGTATAAAATAAACCCGCTGTATCTGCTCTGGGTCCCTGTCTCTCCATCAGAGGACAGCTGACCCACCCTGTCCCAGCTTTCCCTACTGTCTCTGTGTCTGTCTCTTTCATTTTCTCAATTCCCCATCGCCCCTACTCAGGACTCCTGTCCACTCTCTAGCTGTGCTGGTCCCAGAAAAGAGAAATATTTATAGACTGGCATCGTGTGCCTGTGGAGCGAGGCGAAGCTTTATTGAGGATGCATGCAGTGCGCAAGGTCTGGGTCGCCCTCACCCTGGCAGGCGGGATAGGAAGGCGGGAGTCGGGCGGGTTCTCGAAGCTGAGGGTCCCTGACGGGCCGGGGGTGGGGTTGGGGTGAACACCGACTTTGCATGAGGAACGCGTGTGCCGGTGCTGGGGGCGGGAGACCTGCTCTGAGACACTCCAGGCCGCTGGCCGCCCTACACGGGCCGCACCTTCATCTCGGCCACCTTGTAGCTGTAGTAGTTCCCCTTCCCTGAATTCCAGTTGATGCCGTTTGCGTAGCTACTGTGGGAGCCCCCAAGGTAGCGCCCGTTCAGGTTGGACAGCTGGCTGTTGATGTACCACCAGGCGCCCTGGTAAGTCTCGGCACAGTTGGCGGGTGACTTGTCGTTGTCCTGGTCTTTTGTGGAGAACTGGGTGCTGTTGTGTTGGGTCAGGGAGTCACCTGCCAGGAGAAGGGGGGCCGCTTACACTCAGCGCCAGAAGGTGCCGGCTCCAGGTCCGGCCGGAGCTGTCCAGCTGCGCGACGTCCGCTGGGAAGTCTGACGGTGCCGCGAATGCCAGCAAACGCTCGGTCGGTGGATCCCCGGCCTCGGTATCCCCCCCTCTGCTCAGTGCCCGCCAGCGAATGGCACTGTGCCCCGTAGAGGGGAGGCCACTGCCCAAGACGTCCAGGTCCATCGGGCCACACGGGAGGGACATGAGCGGTGCTACCCGGGCGTCCTGTCCACCTGCTCCAACGCGGGCAGTCAGGAGGGAGACGCTCAGGGCCTGCTCTTTGTAGCCCGTGTGTCCCGCCCTCGTCATGGGCGCATCCAGGTGGAGGCGGGTTATCCCAACGTGTGGATGGAGGACCGTGGTGAGGCCAGGCCCTGCCCAGACCCAGGGTCACAGAGCCAGGACCCGCCCAGACGCAATCCACTGCCCACCCACTGCCCACCCACTGCCCACCCCCACTACCCATTCCCACTGCCTTCCCCACACAGCCCACTCCCCACTAGCCACCCTAGACTCCACCCCCCCACGGTATGGCTGACACTCACCGGCATTGCCCCCGGCAAAAGCTCCCAGGATCAGCTGGTACTTCTCGGCCTCGCTCCCCAGCCTGAACAACTGGTACTTGGCAAAGTGGCGGGTGCCCTGGAAGTCCACCAGGTCCACACGGAGCTCGTAGGTGCCTGCGGGGGGCAGGGCCTCAGTCCTGGGAGCAGGGACCCTGAGCTGCCAGGACGTGGGTGACACTCAGGGGGCCTGCACTGGGCACCCAGGACGTCCCTCGAGGTCCCCCAGAAAGTCCCAGTCACTGAGGGGTAGGGGCACGTGCTCCCAGGGTGTGAGCCAAACCCCCAGCCCACCTTCAGGCCCAGACAGAAGGGGCCCTCAGCATTCGGGAGGGGGAAGTGGGGTTGCTTCAGCCTGGTGGGAAGCGGCCGTCTCCCCTGTGTGTCCAGGGACGGGGCTCAGATGGCGGCGAGGGCAGGACTGGAGGCTGGGCATGACCCCGACGAGGGCCTCCGTGTCCCCCCGGTTTGGCCTCTGAGATGCCAGCGGCCGTGACCGGAGGAGGTCTGCCCCCCAAAACCCACTTCCTCTGGCCCTGACGCCCCCTCTCCCGCTGGGACCTTCCTGTCCTCAGAGGCGGCACGTGTGGGGGCGGAGGAGCGGGTTCCGTCCAGGTGGCCCAGGTCGGAGGTCGGGGCAGGAGGGTTACCCCCACCCCCACCCCAGGCCGCGGCCCGGGCCCTACCCTGGGCGGTCAGGGCGTGGATGTGGTCGTTGCCCAGCCAGAACTCGCCCAGCTGGCTGCCGAAGCCCCGCTTGTAGGCGGCCCAGTCCCGGTAGAAGTCCACGGAGCCGTCCACCCTGCGCTGGATCACCTGGGGGAGGGGAGACGGCGCTGCCGCCCAGCACGGCCCCGCCCACAGCCCAGACCCCGGGCGGACGGACGGCGCCCACGTGGGACCGAGGAGGACGTGGCAGCTGGGAGCGGGGAGGCCAGGCCCGGAGCCCAAACCCGGAGGCACGGGGCTCCCTGGGGCCGGGCCCACGGTGGGGTTCTCCCACCCCGTCGGGTTCTCTCCGTCCCCTGGGAAGGGGCAGCCCCGGACACAGGGGCCTGGACAGTGACAAGGGCCCCGGAGCGCGGGTCCTCGGGGTGGAGCCTGGTCTGCGAGGCCCGGGCCCGGCAGCCGCCCCCCCAGCACCGCACCGCCCTCCCGCCGCGGGCACTCACGGTCCAGCCCCCGCCGTCCGTGTCCATGTCGCACAGCACGGTCAGCGGCCGGCAGTCGGGCAGGTAGATGGTGTGCCAGCCGCTCAGGGTGTGGCCCCTGGTGAGCAGCTCCCTGCAGCTCCGAGGTCCTGGGAAGGGAAGCGGCACGTGGAGGCCCCAGGACGGAGGGAGGGCGGGTCAGTGGGGTCTGCGTGGGCAGGAAGCTCCAGGGCTGGACAGAGACCCCACCAGGGCCACCAGCTGTGACGGACAGGCCCCGTGTGCCGGGCCCTCCCCCCAGGGCGCCCCCACCTTTCGGTCCCCGGGCACCGGCCATTGGGGGTCTAATATTTTGGGGGCAAGAGACTAGGACTGTCATTGGGGTCCCTAAGGCAGGAGAGGAGGGCGGGGCTGAGTGCTGTCCCCTGTGATTGGCCAGTGGTGAGGCAGGGGGCGGGGCTGAGTGCTGTCCCGTGTGATTGGCCAGCGGTGAGGCAGGGGGCGGGGCTGAGTGCTGTCCCATGTGATTGGCCAGCGGTGAGGGAGGGGGCGGGGCTGAGTGCTGTCCCATGTGATTGGCCAGGAGTGAGGCAGGGGGCGTGGCAGAGTACTGTCCCATGTGATTGGCCAGCGGTGAGGCAGGGGGCGGGGCCTCTGGGCCTGCAGGCTGATGGGCTGCATGGGGGACCCCAGGCCAATGCTCCCTGCAGGGAGGGCCCCGCACACCCAGGACCTCGGGCCAAACTGGGCGCCGGACCGGGCGGGTCGCCCACCTGTGTCACATCGGTCAGCTTCCCACGAGGCTCCTGGGGGAGAGGAAACACCCGTGAGAGGCGGGACGGCCAAGCCCTGGCCCCTCCGCCCCAGGAGGAGATGGAGGCCCTTTCTAGATGCTTCCATAGGAGGCTGGTCCCCCAGGAGGCCCCAGCCTGCCCCCTGGGGAGGCCCTGGCTGTGCTCCCGGAGGCGGAGTCGGAGCCTCAGCTGCCTCCTGGGCCCAGGGCAGCCTCGGGGACACGGGGAGAGCGGGCCGCTCGGTGGGGAGGGCAGCGAAGGGGCGTCTGCACCTCGGACCACAGGGGGTGACCCTGGGGGCGGTGACTGTCTCGGGTCCAGAGAGGGGTCTCCAGGGTGTGCACGTCCGGGCCTTCTCTGACTTCCTGGACTTTGTGCGGGGCCGTGGAGAAGGTGTCTGTGTCACCGACTCTGCACCAGCCCGCGGAGCGCGTGCATGTGTGAGGGCCACACGCGTGTCATGGGCCGTTCAGGGCACATGTTCCCCATCTGCTCATCGCCTGTGCCCGCAGCGTGGCTCACAGCCTCTGGACCACGTTGTGTTTGAATCGCTGCCCAACTTCCTGGAGCCCCAGGCGGAGCCCCGGGAGGACAGGCCGGCCCTGCTCAGGGGTCCGAGGCCGGACGGGAGGGATGGGCTGCACGGGCTCCGGGAGGAGTGTGGTCCCACCCCGCCCTCCACACCCCCCCGTAGAGGGAAGGCCTGCTCTCCACCCAGCCCCTGCCCCACGCCCTGGGAACCCCCTTGTGCTCAGGGTCCGGAAGCCACCCCTGGGAGGGCGGGAGGGCCTCACCTTTCTCTCCCCGCGCGCCCTTCTCCCCTCGGTCTCCTGCGGAGAGAGGAGGGTCAGCACAGGCTCGAGGACAGGACAGGCTCCTGCCAGACCCCGTCAGCCAGAGGACTCGCTGTCCCCCCTCCTGGGGCCGAGAGAGCCCCGGGCGGGGACAGGTCAGGGACAAGGGAGCCGGGTCTCGTTTCTGTGCCGGTCAGTGCTGGGCTGGGGTCGGGATCCGCCCTGGGCCCCGGGTGCTCTGGACACAGACCCAGACCCAGGCCCTGGGTGAGGGTGCACCCTGTTGGGGGCAGGGTTAGGATCAGGGGTACCGTTAGGGACAAGGTGAGAGTGGGGGTTAGCGTGGTCGGCACACTCATTAGGCAACAGAGCCAAATAGCAACAGTACAGCGATTGAAATTTCCTTTGAGAGCCAAATTTTTTAAACTTAAACTATATAGGTAGGTTATATACTTAATTAGGGTACTCCCAAGGCTTAGGAAGAGCCACACTCAAGGGCCAAAGAGCCGCATGTGGCTCACGAGCCCCAGTTTGCCGACCACAGGCGTTAGGGAATACGGATAAGGTTAGGGATAGGGATAAAGATATTGTTAGGGTAAGGGTTAGATATAAGGATAGGGTTAGGATTAGGGATAAGAATAGGATTAGGGTTAGGCTTAGTGTTAGGGATAAGGATAGTGTTGGAGTTAGTGGTAGGGTTAGGGTTAGGGTTAGGGTTAGGGTTAGGGAATGAGATAAGGATAGAGTTTGGGTTAAGATTAGGGATTAGAATAGGATTAGGGTTAGTGATATGGATAGACGTTGAGTTAGGGATAAGTTTAGTGTTAGGGTTTGGGATAAGGATAGGGTTAGGGTTATGGTTACTGATAAGAATAGGGTTAGGGTTAGGTTTAGGAGTAAGATAGGGTTAGTGTTAAGGATAAGGATAGAGTTAGGGTTAGGGTTAGGAATTAGGAGAGGATTAGCTTAGGGATAAGGATCGAGTTATGGTTAGGCTCAGGGTTAGGGACAGGGTGATGGTTAGGGTTAAGGATAGGGTTAGGCATAAGGACAGGGTTAGAGTTAGGGATAAGGATAGGGTTAAGTTTAGATTTAGTGTTAGGGTTAGGATTAGGGATAAGGATGGTTAGGGTTAGGGTTAGGGATCAGGATAGGATTAGGCATAAGGATAGGTTTAGGGTTAAGGTTAGTGATAAGGATAGGGTTAGGCATAAGGATAAGGTTAGTTTTAGGGGTAGGCCTAAGTTAGTATTAGGGTTAGGATTAGGGATAAAGATAGGATTCGTGTTATGGTTCCGGATAAGGATAAATATATGGATAATTTTAGGGTTAGGGATAAAGTTAGGGTTAGAGTTAGGGGTAATAATACGGTTAGAGTTAGGGTTGGTGTTAGTGTTTGGAATAAGGATAGGATTATGGTTACCATTAGGTTATGGTTAGGGTTAGGGGTAATTATAGGGTTAACGATAGGGTTAAGGTTAGTGTTTGGGAAAAGGATAGGGTTATATTAGGGTTAGGGTTAGGGTTAGGGTTAGGGTTAGGGTTAGGATTAGGGTGAGTGTTAGGGTTAGCTTTTGGGATAAGGAATGGTTTATGGATAAGGTTAAGGTTAGGGATAAGGATAGAATTAGGCATGAGGAAAGGGTTAGGGTTAGTGTTATGGTTTGGGAGAAGGATAGACTAAGGTTAGTGTTTGGGATAAGGATAGGATTATGGTTGCCATTAGGTTATGGTTAGGAATTTTCCCATGTGACACCTGGGACGTGCCCCTCCTCTCTCCCTGCCCCCGGGGGTGGGGGGTCCTGCCCGGGCTCTCCATGCTCCTTGCTGAGTTACCTTTGGGCCCGGGGGGTCCCACCTTCCCACGGACTCCAGATGGGCCTGGGTCTCCTGCAAATTCAAACATGTCAGTGAGAAACTCTGGGGACCCAGACTCCTAGCATCTCCAGGTTAGACCCTCAGGAACCAGAGGGAAGGGACCTGGACCCCAGCCCTCCTAGTCCCCGCTGTGCAGTCAGAGGCCAGGACCTGCGACCAGGGGCCTTCCCAGGGGACCAGGCCGCCCAGCTCTGCCCTCGTCCAGGGAACCTGGGCATTTCCATTGGCTGTGACTGCCGGGCCCGCTGTGGTCACCCCTGGAGACAGGCCCCCCGGGCTCAGGTGGGACCAGGGAGGGCACGGAGGACAGTCCAGCCGGGTCCCCCGCAGCAGGTGTGTCATCACCAGGAGCCGTGCTGGCCGCCCACACAGGCCCGGCGGCTCCGTGGGTGACCCGAGACCAGCTCCCTCCCACGGGGACCCACACCCCAGTGGACCAAGCCCCAGGCCCCTCCTGAGACCTGCTGGGGGCCCTGCCCTGCTGGGTCTCCCTGGGCAGGAATGAGGCCCAGCCCCCCTCCCCCGGACACTCACCTTTCCTGCCTTCGGTGCCTGCCTCTCCCTTGGGCCCCTGGGCCCCTGGCAGCCCCGGGCAGCCCCGGAGGATGGTGAGCTTGTCGGTCTCCAGCCCCAGCACCTTCACTTCTGCAGAGAAGCATGGGCGCCCGTCAGGGCTAGGACCTGGGCCGATGCCCCCCACCCCCTCCCGAAGGACCTGCCACCGTGGGGACCCGGCCTGGCAGATGGCAGTGCCCGGGCCGCCTGCCTCAGCCAGAGGGCCAGCCTGGAGGGGAGGCGGTTGCGCCTTGGCTTAGCCTGTGGTTGGTCCTCCCCAGGTGATGGGCCGGCCTCGGGATCCACCTGCCCCCGGGGAACCCCACTCCTCAGGCTGTGTGTCCTCGGGGAGTCACTCAGCCCCTCTGGGCTCTGTGCCCGGCTGCACAGTGAGAGCAGAGGGAGGCTTTGGGGGTCAGAGTGGCCGATGCAAATGTGTGAGACCTTAGGAAGAGCTCCCCCACTGCTGCCCGTCCAGTGAGTGCAGCCCCCGCATCTGTGACAGAGGGGGTTGGGGCAGTGCCGCATGTCACCCCCATTCACCGGGCATGTGGCCTGGGAATCCCGGGCTGGAGGGTGCGGAGGGTGGGGGTCCCTGTGATCCCAGGACACACAGCAGCCCCCGCAGACGTGGAGCCACAGAGGCACCTGCCTCTCAGAGTTTAAGTGCGTCCGTCACAAATACATGGCCTCTAGGGAAGGTGTGGTGACCGGAAACCCTCCCTGGTCCCAGCCCCTCCCACAGCCAGAGACTCCGGAGGGAGGGGTGGCACCCCATGGAGAGCTCCTGGGCCAGGGAAGGAGGTCGGGGCCCGTGGGGACCCTTGGACCCTTGCCCTCTTGCTGTGCCACCTCGCAGAGCAGTTGGGGCAGCCTGTCCCATGAGGCTCGAGGCCCCCAGCACTGGGTGCGACCTTGCACTGACCCCGGCTGGGGGAGGGGGCGCTCTCCAGCCTCCCCCCTCATACCACCTGTGCCCCTCCTGGGAGGACCCCGAGGCCGGTCCCCTGCAGAGGGTGGTTCAGCCTCAGTGTGAAGAAGAATGTTCTGGAAGGACCCGGCAGGGGGCTGGCAGTGGTCTGTGCTGAGGCTCTCGGCTCTGGGACCTTGGTCAGGCCGGCCTGCCGGGCGCCTGGCTCACCTGGACAGTTGTCGGCCGTGGCGGCTGCAGTGCCCAGGAGGACGAGGGCCAGGACCACGGGCCCCATGGCAGCGGCTGCTCTGGGTGGCGGCATCCCGGGTCCCGCTGCCAAGGCGCTCCCACCTTTTATTGCTGCCTGAGCCCCGCCTCTGCTCTAGTTCCCTCCCATGTGGGCCACTCCCTCCCCAGCCCCAGGGGACGGTCCCCCCACCACGCCCTCAGCCCCCCCTCTGCAGTGGCCCCCCTTCCCCTCAGTGGGACCAGATGCCCCGGGTGGGGAGGGCTGTGTCGGGAGGGCCTGTGTGTGTCTTTATTATATTTAATTAAGGATATGTTTTTATTGACTTTGGAGACGAAAGGAAGGAGAGAGAGCTAGAAACACCGCAATGAGAGAGAATCACACCCGCCCTGGGATCCAGCCGTCAACCCGCCCATGTGCCCTTGACCGGGATTGAACCTGGGACCCTTCTGTCCGCAGGCTGGCACTCTGTCCACTGAGCCACACCGGCCAGGGCTGCCTGCGTGTGTCCTTAGAGAGAGCCCAGGAGCCCCCTCTCGTCCCCTAGCTCTCCCCAGGGGGACCCCCTGAGTGACCCCCAGGATGGCAGGGGTGGCCGGGCAGGAACTCACTTGCATGCAATGGGCTGGGGGTTCCAGAGGGTTAGGGACTCCCTGGGGTCCAGGGTGGGCAGAGGGAAGGGGAGGGCAGGGGAGGAGTTGACTGCCCTACAGAGGCAGGACTGGGAGCTGGACTGGGGCAGCAGCAGCCTGACTGGGGAGTGAGGAGGTGGCACTGAATTCTCCCTGGGACCTTGTGAGAGCGGCGCAGCCCCAGCAGGGACGGGAGGCACGGGACCTGTCCACGCCTCTCCCGTCCTGGGAGCGGGTCGCTGAATCTCGAAGCCCCACCTGGATGGAGACGGAGGTGGCAGGTCGGGGCCCCCGTCCCTGTCCAGGTGTGACCCTCAGGCCGACGTGACCCAGGATGGAGGTCCCATCGGGCCCATTTCCGTGTCCCTGGCACCAGGGGCCTGAGAGTTGGTTCTGGACCCGGGGGGGTCTCTACAGGAGGGAGGGGGGCAGAGAACAGAGATCAGGGGAGGGAGCTGAGCTCCCAGAATGTCCCGGTCATCTTGCCGGTCAGTGGCGTCCAGCGTGCTCTCTGCGTCTGGTTTGGGTGGCTGAGGGCCAGGCACCTGCTGGGCCGGGTCCCCTGGGAGCGGGAGGGGCTTCCTGTGAAGCCAGTTCCTCGGAATGGTACACAAAGATGTTCACTTACAGGTTACATATTAGCCAGCAAGGTGTTCATGTAACGGACAATCACGGGGCGGGGGCGGCCGGTCACTCCTTGAGCCAATTCAGCAGAAACTGGGTGGGATCATGGATGAGTGTTTACCCCGGCCCTGCCAGCAGCGTGGAGAGCAGCCGTCACCCACAGACCTGTGCTGTGCCCCCCGTAAGCCGGCTGCTGACATTGGCTCTGGCTCCTGAATAAACCCTTTTCCTTGGGTGGAAGGACAGAGATAAGAGGGGGAAGTAGCCAAATGGCCGCTCACAGGTCATGGGGGTTGGAGCCCCGCACAGCGCCGGCGCCCTGGGGCCTGTGGTCAGGAGCCTCCGCCTTTCCTCCCGCTTCCCTGGGGCGGCCCCGACCCTCAGCCCCGTGACGCCAGGGCCCGGGACGGAAAGCGTGTTGCTGAGCATCCGGACATCAGCTGAGACCCGGCGAGGGCGCCTCCCAGGGTCGCTCCATGCATCCTGGGTACTTTCCGTGCCCGATGCCCTCCTTCGAGTCCCTGGATGGGACATGCTCTCCTGTCAGCTCCCGTGTCCCCGACTCCGGCTTTTCTCCTCCTGGGGCGGTGAGGGAAGAGGGGAGTCTGCCCCACACACAGCCCCCCCCATCGGGCCTTCGCGCCCTCCTCCCCTCACGCTCCTCTGTCTGCGCCCAATCCCACTGGAAAGCGAGGGGTCGAGTTGGCTTCCACCAGCGCGTCGCTGGGAAAAGGGAAACACCACCCGCGCCTCTCACAGCTGAAGCTCTGCCCTGTGAAGGGCTCCCGGGTCTCGGGAGGGAGCGTGTTTACGGTGGGATCGGCCCTGGGAGGCCAGGGAGGGGGGCCTGTCTGGAGCCGCGTGGCAGCCAGGAGGCAGGAGGCAGCCCCAGCGCTGGCCCGGCCACCGGCCTGCCTGTTCCCAGCCGAGCGGGACACCCAGGAACTTTCTAGAATGACAAGCTTCGGGGCCACGCACACCTACAGGGTAACTTGTTCCGCAGCAACAAGTAGTACAGACGCTAAAGGGCTTCTTCCTCTGTGTGTCTCCCTCGCGGAGTCTCCACCTTGTCCCAGCCGCCGGGGCCTCTCAGGCCAGTGGTTCCTCGTTTGATAACGAGTCTGAGAAAGTCCCCAAGGGCAGCGAGGTCCTCGCACGGCCACACACGCCCGAGAGGGAGACCCTCCCAACCTGCCCAATGGCCCATCTGTTCCCGCAGGGAAGCCGGACCAGGACGGAGAGGAGTGAGTGTTGCGTCTCGCAGCTGGGACGCTGGGCCTCCGGGAGGCGGAATCAAATGGCAGCCAAGGCCCGGCCCTGCGGAGGGGACCACGCTCACCCCATCCGCAGGTCCCGGGCTCAGTCTGTGGCTGCCGGGACACAGCCCTTACGGCCGGAACCGGGAGGAGCACTGTCTCCTGTCTCCCAGGGTGGGAGCGAAGCAAGGCCGGGCCCCGTCTCAGCTCGCGTGTCCGGAAGGCCCGCCCGGCGTGGGCAGCTGCAGGTGCAGGTGAGCTCTAGCTGACAATTGTTGGGGACGTGACTGTGGGGAGCGGAGGCCCTGGGCCTGAGAGCAGCCCCGAGTCCAGCGCCTCTGCCTGAGTCCCGGGACACGCCTGTGGGAGCACACACCAGCCCCAGACTCCCGGCCACACCCACACCTGCACTGAAGGTCCTGTCCTGCAGCCCAGGGGGCAGGTGCAGCCAGGCCTCAAGGTTGAGGGAGATGCGAGAAGTGGGGGGCTCTGCAGGGCCTTGCCCGCAGGCTTCTCTGCAGCCCCTCCCCCCTCCTCCCTCTCCCAGGATCACTCACCTTCGAGGTGGAAGCTGCAGCACCTACTTCCAATGAGGGCCGCTCCTCCCCACCGGCCCCACGCCCATAGGTGTGGGTGCTCCTTTAATGAGCCCACCAGGGGCCACCGACTCCTGCAGGAGGCAGGGACTCTCTCTGAAAGGCGGGGGCTCCCCGCACGGCCAGCCGCCCGCCACCTTTCCGCAGAGGGATGCAGCCACCTCCGAGCCTGCCCGGGCGTTCGCCCCTCTAAGTGTTGCTCACTTTATATATATATATATATATTTTTTTTTAATTGATTTCAGAGAGGAAGGGAGTGGGAGAGAGAGAAACATCACTGATGAGAGAACCATTGATCAGCTGCCTCCTGCAGGCCCCACCCTGGGACCGAGCCCACAACCCGGGCCTGTGCCCTGAATGGGAATCAAACCGTGACTCCTGGTTCCTAGGTCGATGCTCAACCGCTGAGTCCCGCCGGCCGGGCCCTTCTCAGTTCTCTCTCTATCGGACGGTGCTGGGACGGCGCCTCCCAGGCCTGACGTCCGCAGCCTCTGGGCGCTGTTGCCTTTCATCCGGCCAGTTCTCCCGGGAGCTTCTCTCTTGTGTCACCCGCCCAGGTGGCCGAGCGGCCAGCTGCAGCCCAGGTGCCCACCTGTCCCAAGAATCCTCGCTCACCAGCTGGCACAGGCAGCAAACGACCATCTGACCACAGGTTGTGCCGGAGACGAGAGCCACCCTCCTCTTTCTGACGTCCAGCGTCCGGCTGCCTTCAGCTGTGCGCCCCCCCCCCCCCATGCTGTTCTAAAAGCCGCTTCCCACTGGGCTGCCGGGAGCCGGTCCATCCTTGCTGTTTCAAGGGACCTGGCATATATGGCATACTGTTCTTTAATGTTTGCTCACCTTGGCACTATGTGTTTTAACCAAGGTCACCTCTCTGAGAAAGGTTGTTTCCCCAGGTAGGGATTTTCCCCTGAAGTTAGGGAGGGAATAAAACCCCTCAACTAAGTGCCAGGCGGGTAATTAATCACTTTAACTACGAACAATCATGCTTAAGCTACATAATCTTTACTCCCTGGAATGGAGATAAGAAACGCCCTCACCTTTGGAATAGAGATTGATAGGACTGGAATCAACTGGTATAAATACAGATGTAACAAGACAACAGGACACAGAACCTACAGACAGAAGAATTTCACTGGAGAGAACATGGCAAAAGATCCTGGACAGAACCTAGACACAGAACCTAGAGACAGAAGAACTTCGCTGGAGAGAACATGGCAAAAGATCCTGGACAGAACCTAGACACAGAACCTAGAGACAGAAGAACTTCGCTGGAGAGAACATGGCAAAAGATCCTGGACAGAACCTGGCTACAGAACTTGGCTGGAGAATATAGACAGAACCTGGCTGAAGAACCTAGAGACAGAACCTGGCTACAGAACCTGGATAGAACATGGCAAGAGAATCTGACTAGAACCTGGTGACTGAACCTGGCTGGAGAACCTGGAGAACCTGGCTGGAGAACCTAGCAAGAGAACATGGACACAGAACCTGGCTGGAGATCCTAACCAGAACTTCGCTGGAGATCCTGACCAGAACTTGGCTAGAGATCCTGGCTAGGCTGCTGACCAACTGAACGCTGTCTCCGTGTCATTCCTTCTTCGCAGACTCCGTCCACACCTTTGTGGACCCCTGGACCTGCTGGGGTTGGACCCCAGCACTCGGGGTCCCTGTCTCCCCGCCTTCAGGAGCCCCAGACCTGTGACCCCAGGCCCCGAGCGTGCCTGAGCCACCTGGAGGCGTCAGAGCACAGCTGACGGCTTCCCCGTGTCCATTTCAGCAGCCTGCAGGGCGGGGCCAGGAGTCTGCATTTATTTCTCTCTCTTTTGTTAATCCTTCCTGGAGGACATTTTCTCATTGATTTTTAGAGAAAGTGGAAGTGGGGGGGGGAAGCCCGGCCAGGCCAGTGTCACCTTCAGGATCTCTCAGAGAGAGAGAGAGAGAGAGAGAGAGAGAGAGAGAGAGAGAGGCAGAGGATTTTGAAATGCCCTTTCCTGGGCATCACA